CAAAAAAAAAAAAAAACCAAAAACCTTCCAGTGGGTATGAGATTGACATGTTTGCTGCTGCAGTCACAGGCCACACGGTGGCACCCGTGTTTTGTGTGGTGACTCAGCTGCAATTCTTCCTGTGGCCATCGGGAGGAGTGCGAGAGCAGCTGGCTTCCTCGGAGGTAGCAGTTCCTAAGCGACTCTGCCTACAAATAGTTCCGCTGCTATTGGGATGAGGGGAAGCAGGAAGCAAATATTTGAGTCAGGGAAACATTAAGACAACGCTGTGCGCGTGAAGAAGGTTGGGAGTTGGGTGGGGAGGGGAGGGAGTGGAGCTTGCGTCAGAACAGGTGGAGGAGAGAGGACTCTTCCCGGGTCAGTTTTCTCCTACTATAGCGGACCCAAGAATGGACTTCAGGTTTGACTGTGTCTTTACCCGCTGAGCCATCTATGTAGATCCAAACAGGCTCTCTCACTGAATCCAGAACTAACTGGCTAGCTAGGCTGGCAGGCTGGAGAGCTCTAGGGCTTCTCCCGTCCCTACCCACCTCCACAGGAGCTGGCTCCCTGAGAATATGAACTCAGGTCCAGATGCTTGCACAGCAGACTCTTTCTTTACCAACCGAATCATGCATGAGCCCAGTCAAGATCACTCCTTTGAATATGGCCTCATTACCTGTACTATAACATTGGGCCGTCACTCTAAAACCAAGTTCAAAGATACCACCCCATCCTTCCACAGTGCAGTCAGGCTGATACTACTAGCTAAATATACATCTCCAATACATCTCTCCAAAGGTCTTCAAACTGCCACCCTGTGGATAGTCTTAACTTCCCACCTCTCTGAATAAATGAAGCCACCAGGCAGCTCTTCCTCAAATACACCGTTACACCACACTCACGTGGCCTGCCTTCTTGTCCCTTGTAGTAGGGCAAACAGTTATGGCTCTGGAGGGCACCCCTTTGTAAGCCTTGAATTTAAAAAGAATCCTCATCTCCATGGGAACAGAGCTCCCCCAATTTCTACCTTCTCCCCATGGGGACGCTCTCATTTCTGCCGGTTGTCCCCACTAACACGCAAACCCACAGTTTGTTATTCTGGTCCTTCATTGGCCCCGATATTCTGTCAGCGGAGGTCCCATTTCTTTCTTCCTCCTCTGACATACCTGGGAATTTCCACGTTCACCGCTGACTGCAAAGCTTCTGAATCTTTATTGGCTTCATTCCTACAATTAAGCTTTCGCTCAGACCGTTCCAAAGAAACTGTGGGACTTCACGGCCTCGTCCCAGAAACCTGTGGTCACATTGTCCAGCGCTGTCCCTGCCCTGACCTCATCTGCAGAGTGTGCTGCTGCACTAGGGGACTCCCAGGGACCATCGTCTGGCTCCCCCTCTGCCTCACTCTAAGGATGCTCCCTTTTCTACCCAGTCTAGGAATGGCAGGTGTTAGAAAGTTCAGCTCTCATGCTTCTTCCCGAACACAAGTGGTCCTTTGATGAGTACCACTCAGTGCCACGACTCCAAATATACTTCCTGATTTAACCGATCAAACTTCCAAACTTCATGATTTAACCTCTGACCTCCAACATCTCCACGTGGTTGCTTAGCTGACCCCAGAACTGATCCCCCCAGGCCACTGCTCTGCCCACCTTCCTGCAATAGTCTTTGGCAATCCCAGCCTTCCCCTTTCTCAGGCCACGCCCCACATCGAATCCCATGGGAAATCTTGTTGGCTCCACCTTCAAAACAGCTCCTTCACCTTGCACCAGAATAACACAATCCAGCATCCAGTGTGATCCTACAGAGGCCAGAGCGTTCCAAGCTCTGCTGAGGACTCAACACATCCCCCTCGCTTCAGTCAGAAAAGAAGCTCAGATTCTCAGAGAACCACAGGAGACCTCTCTTGGGTTCATCCAATAGAAAGACAACGTGACCCCCTCATTGCTGTATTTTACATTTCTTTGGAGCTATGATAATAAAGTCAAAAGGACGAGGTGAAGTGTGGCCTTAAAACTGGAGGAAGAGGCCTGCAGAAGCAGGCACGCACAGGGAAGAGCTCTCCCCAGGAGGGACAGCAGCATGGCCTTGCCGTAACCCAGCGTCACCTGACATCACCTCGCGGTCATCTGTTTTGAAATCCTGACCTCCCGAATGCATTTCCTAAGGGCGTCTTCCATTCACACAAGAGAAGCTACTAATCGTTGTCTTTTATTCTTAGATTTATTCATTTTATTTTATGTGTGAATGTTTTGCCTGCAAGCATGTATGTGTACCACGCGTATGCCTGGTGTCTCCGGAGATCAGAGCATTGGACTTCCTTATGCTGAAGTTATAGATGGTTGTGAGCTGCTGTGTGGGTACTGAGAATTGAACTCTGCAAGAACAACAAGCATTTTTTTGAGGGGGGGGGGGGGAAGGAGTGTGGGACTTTGAGGCAGGGTTTCTCTGTGTAGGCTTTGGTATCCTGGAACTAGCTCTGTAGACCAGACTGGCCTCGAACTCACAGAGATCCATCTGCCTCCTGAGCTCTGGAATTAAAGGTGTGCACCACCACTGCCCTGCAACAGGTGCTTTTAACCCCTGAGCCTTCTTTCCAGCCTTAGCCATCGCATTTTAGCTGCTTGGGCAAAGAACTTAGAGTCCAGGGGCACATGCCTTCTGTTTGCAGAAAAGCACGGCGATGGTGTACATAGTCAACACTCACATTAAGGTGGCCTGTTATCAGTCACACACCACACTTAACCTTGCAAAAGGGTGTCACATACGGTCAATATGTTGGTGGCATTGTGCCGAGCTAAGATTAGATTGTATCACAAGCGCAAAAGAGGGGGTATCGAAGTACACGTAGGAGGTGGCCCTGCCCTCTGGAAAAGAGGAGCTGGTGTCAGTTTCCACTCCTAAGTAGCCAAAAAACAAAAACTATCCCCACAAACTGATTAAAAAAATCTACTCCCCACAGAACTCATCGGTCCTTCAGGGAGAGCCGAGGCATCGCAGGCATCTGTAAGTCACAGCATGGAAGCTGCCCAGGCTCACACAGACAAGTCAGTTAGGAAAACAAGCAAAATTCTCCCCTGAAGACAAAGGCTTGGTGAGAAGGTTTTGCACACACCGGTGGGGCTTTCTCAGTCAACGGTGCAGTAGGATGTGGGGCAGAGGAAGGACGCACCAGAGAAGGTCAACTTAGAGAGTCTCCCCCCCAGCCACCACGCTCAGAAGTAATCACCGAATGACCCTGTAGAGAGAAACCAGAGACCACTGTGGGCCATTTATAGATAGACTCTTATGCATGGGGATTAAATAATAAGAGGTTTTCAAAAGGAATGAGAAATAAGTGAAATGTGTTTTAAATAAGTGAAATGTGTTTTAATAATAATGTTTTTAAAGTCTTAACATTTTATTTATCTTTTATTTATCTATCTGTTTATTTTTTTTTTTTTTTTGCATGAAGACTGGTGTGGCCTCTCTTCATTAAATGGATGGTCTGGAATATTCCATCCAAAGGCACTTACTCCACCTTAGTGATTCCTGTATCCTTTGCACACTGATGGAAACACTGCCCATGCATGTTCAACTCGCTTTTCCGGGCTGGGGACTGTGGTAGTTTGAACAGATGCAGCAAGTGTGAGAACCCTACTCTGACTTCCCTGGCTGACTCTAGTATAGCTGCTGGGGACCCGTCTATCCTCCCTCTCCCACCAATGAGGAAAAAGGCAGTAATATGCTTTAGTTAACCCAATACCACAGAATTACTGTTGTTGTCAAATGTCATCCAGACAAAAATAGCGAATCTTATGTTTGCGTCCATTCAGCCTTTCAAATGTGAGGTGCCGTCTCTTTGGACCAGCCACACTTCACGAACTTAGAGCCTCGTCTGGCTAGAGGTCTCTGTGTTGGCTAGAGGTGTGGTTGGAGCTGATAACCGTCTGTTTATCTCTCAGGCTGAAATCCAAGCCGCTCCCACCTTGCTCTCTGTTCCAGCCCTCAGGAAGGCTTCAGCTTCAGGGGTGTGATGTAGCAAGCCTTGGTCTGTATGATCTTTCTGTGGGTGCCCACACAGTTATCTTTTTCATCTCTGTCTGTTCACATGGCCCAATGATTCAGATGGCAGCCATTACACTTCCCACTCGAGCCTCGAGGTTCTCTTAACCGTTTGACACCCTCCCCTCCCCTCCACACATATCACCTCCGAAAGATCATATATTCTGTCAGAGCTTCTCTGCTTTCTCTTACCAGAAGACAAGCTCTGGTGACGATATGGCCTGAAACCCACAACAGTGCCTGGGACACAGTAGGCACCCTGTGGACACTTCTAGACCGAATAGATTAATGAGAAACTCGGTCTATCTTCCCAGAAGGTTTTCAGGCCAGGGCTTGGAGCCAAGATCTCACATAGCACAGCAGCGGCAGTGACCTTGAAGTGATGAAATGAGAGCAATCGAATCTACCAAATCTACCGGCTGTCACTGTGGAAAAGGGCAATGCAGCAGGAGGCAAGGCAGGAGGCAGCTGCTAAGTGTCTACTGTGCTCACAGGCATGTGCAGAGAAAGCTGTCACAAGAACATGGCTGCTTAAAGGTTGGGGGTCTGTCAAGAGGGACACTGTGTGCTGTGACGGATTACTGGGGACCCCACGCTAGGAACAGGTGGTGTGGTGGAGTCTCTGAAGGCAAATAGGGCCCTGGCGGCAGAAGTGGGTGTCTTCTTAGACTTCATGATCATGGGGTGGTTCCGTGGCTGCAGTGAAATGAAAAGATTACATTGTACGATGTGAAACTAGAGTTGAAACTTTCTTTACTCATTTGTATGTGTGTGTGTGCATGTGCACATGTGCATGTGTGTGAGTACACGCTCAAGTGCGTCCGTGTCCCGGCCCCTCCATCTGCTATGTCATCCCACAGGCACTCAGCCATGCCTTTTCATGCACACGGTGTCTTACATTACATGACATTACATGGTATAGAAGCCATATGACCTACATATTCCAAAACCCTTTACTCTTTGGCTCCTTAGAGAAAGTCTACTGCCGTCTACCACAGTTTCTCCACACTCCATTCCCACACCCCCCTATTCAAGGATGTCATCTTATCTTGTATCATTTTCTTTTGTCCCATAAAGTCACTCCCACTCACACATCAGACTGCCTTTGCTTATCTGGTTTTTAGGGGAGAAATAGGGGAGACGATGAAGGAAGCAACAGCAGACTCTGGGGCTGGGAGCAGGAAGGAACAGGAGAAAAGAACGCACAACACTTCGCCTTGACTGTCACCACCAGGAGGCAGTATTCCCCTCCACAGCAAAGCCTACCACCTTGTTGGACGTAGTAGTACCTGCCTGTAATCCCAGATTTAGAGGAACTGGTTCTAAATCAACCTGGATTACAAAGTGAGACCATCTCATAAAGTAGCAACAAATTCTGTCTCCTTTAAATCTTCCAAACCACCCTGTGGCAGTTTGAATGGAATTGGCCCCCATAATCTCATAGGGAGTGGCATTATTAGGAGACGTGACTTTGTTGGAGTAGGTATAGCCTTGTTAGAGGAAGATGGGGGTAGCTCTTGAGATTTCCTGTGCTCAGGATACTGCCCAGTATCTTAATCATCTTCCTGTTGCAAGATGTAGGACTATTCCTCCAGCACCACATTTGCCTGCATGCCACCATGCTCCCTGCCATGATGATAATGGACTGAACCTCTGAAACTGTAAGCAAGTCACCCCAATTAAAAGTTTTCCTTATAAGAATTACTGTGGACATGGTGTCTTTTTACAGGAATAGAAACCCTAACTAAGACAGAAGTTGGTACCAGGTATGAGGTATTGCTATGATAGGGTGGAGCATGTTTTTTGTTGTTGTTGTTGTTGTTTTTTAAGAGGAATTTGGACTTCGGTACTTCAGGTTATGAAAGCAGTGGAATGCTTTAAGCACCGCTTAATGGGTCATTCTAGTAGGAGCATGGAAGACAGAGGTGCTAAGAGTTATTTGAACTGTCAGGGGGCTCTAAGACGTTTTAAAGGAAAAGAATTTTAATATGTTTCCTAGAGATCATTCTTGTGATAGTTTGGTGAAGAAAGTAGTCCCCTTTGCCCTTGTCCAAAAAGTCTGTCTGAGGCTAATGTGAAGAGTTTTGGATTAATTCTGTTGGCAGAAGAAATTTCAAAACAGCCAAATATAGACTCTGTCATATGGTTCTTATGTTAACTTTAGTGAAGATTTATAATGAAAAGGAACAAACTGAGCAGGGTAAATTACAAGATGTAAATTTGGAGGAGAAAAAGAGCACCAAGAAGTAGAATGAAGCTAAATCCTGTGTTCAAGAAGATAAACTGATTAAGAGAGAGAATAAAGGGAGTGTTGACCTAACAGCAAGATGCCACCCAGCTAAGTTTCCAACTGTGGAAAGATTAAAGAAAAGCTTAGAGTCAGGTCTTTAATCCCAGCCTGGTCTACAGAGCAAGTTTTAGGACAGCCAAAGGTTAGGCAGTGAAGGACAGAAAGTTGGTGAAGATGTAATTGAATAAGGGGGCCATGGTCCAGCCCCAGAAAGCAGCAGAACTTGACAGGTTTGGCCCCATGCTTCTAGCTTTAGAGTTAAGTATAGCAGAAAGAGGTTATGGAATTTCCCTCCTCACCTAAAGAAAGTCGCTGAGACAAGCGTGTGTCAGGGGTGTCCCTAAATGGAGGCCTAGTAGAGAGGCCATTATGTGAAGTTGTGAAGCTGAAGCCTGGATTGCCTTGGGGACCCAAGATATTGGAGATGCCAGAGTTGTGGAGCACCTGCCAAGAAGAGCTGCTAACAGGGGATGGAAGCAGCCGAAGAGAAAGACATGTGTTGCAGTCAACAAAGCTGGAGAGTTGGCGATCTGAAGAGCGTTTTGACATCAGACATGGATATTCTAAGTGTGGAGTTTTCCCAACTGATGTTTGGTCTTGCTTTAGTCCCATATTTCCTCATTGTGCTTCTTTCCCTACATTTTGGAACAATAATGTATATCCTGTGTTAGAAGTATGGGATCTGCTTTTTGATTTTAATTTTTACAGGGGATTACAGTTAGAGTATATGAATCTGTATATTGCCATGTGGCAGTGGCTTACCGGCAAAGTTTCCACATGTCTTACTCTAGCGGCAGATCCATGGTGTCTCCCTGTCTCTGCCTTCATCCTCCCAGCATTTTGTCCAGTTCCCTTCCTCCGCCTACCTAAGTTCTACCCTATCAACAGGGCAAGGCAGTTTCTTTATTCATTAACAAATAAAATCAACATATATAGAAGAACCTCCCATACCACATGCCCAAGAGCACCTTGAGGGGGAAAGGGTTTATTTGGCTTACCTATCCTGAATCACAATCTATTGAGGGAAGCCAAGGAAGGACACCAAACCAAGCAGGAACCTGGAGGAAGAACTGAAGCAGAGGCTATGATGGAGTGTTGATTACTGGATTGCTCATCATGGCTTGCTCAGCCTGCTTTCTTATAGCACCCAGAACCACCAGCCCAGGGTTGTTCCCACTCACAGTGGGCAGGGCCCTCCTATGGGCCCTCCCACAGCAATCACTAATTTAAGAAATGCCTGTAGGTCTCCTTACAGCCCCATCTTTTGGAGGCATTTTCTCAATTGAAGTTGAGTTCTAGCCAGACAGTTCTAGCCTGTACCAAGTTGACATAAAACTAGCATCACACACCTCCATCTCTACTCTTCTATGGACATTATTGCTTCATCTTCCAACTGCTGTGGGCCTCTTCACAGCCTCATCTAATGAACAACACAAAATCAAAATGGGGGGGGGGAAGGAACCAAGCTTAGCGTTTGATTACTACACTGCCCTCTCTCTCTCTCTCTCTCTCTCTCTCTGACAACCTCTTCTCTGTTTCCTAAAAGGATCGTGTCACTCCTTGGAAGAGTATATATTTCAACAGGAGATATTCTATTAGGTTCTCTAGGGTGCAGAGAGTCCCAAGGGTCTTCTTGGAAGGGTGAGAAGGGGTTATGAATTAGAAGATGGGCTGGAGAAAAGGCTCGGTAAGGAAGAGTGCTTGTTACTCTTACAGAGGACCTGAGTTTTGTTTCTAGCACCCCAATTTTTTTTTAAATGGAGAGAGCTCTAAGAACTAATTAGAAAATGATGGCTGCTCTGTACTGAGCACCCCAGACAGGTTCACAGTGAAGCAAAGAAGGCTGTAGGTAGGGTGGCTGGGACAAAAGGAGTCATTCAAAGGGCGGATGAGAGAATCTCAGGGGACCGCTCCCTAAATTTGCTAAGCACAACCACCGATCCCAGCAGGAGTTATCTGAAGAAAGAGATCTATTCCCAAAGTGTGTAAGGTCTGGATATGGTGCTGGGCACTGAAACGGAGCCTCACTCACACTCAGCACGTCCATTGCAAGATGATGAAAAGTATGATTTGGTTTATAAAAACAAAAATGCTTTCTTGTGGGCACCAAAACCTGCATTTCACATATTTTCTGTGTCCTGAAACAGTCCTACTTTGAGTTTGGCACCCATTTGAAAATGTAAATATTATTCTAACTCAAGAGTTCACAAGAGTCGGCACCAGACTTTATCACTGCAGAAATTTTCTACAGACAGACAGTTCTGGTTAGGTGGGAATCGCCCATCCCTTCCTGGCCTTTGCACCACACAGTCACCATGGCTCACACCACAATTCTCACCCATCTCTCCATTGGCACAAACTGCCAGAGTCTTGGTTCTGTGTGACAAATGGAGCCTCATTGTGGATGCTGCAGGATGGAAAACATTGGGAATCAGTGAGCCCGGGAACAGGCTGACCAATAGGAGCCCACATCTGGTCAGGCAGGAGCAAAAGTGGGGTCTCCCGTCTGACTCAGGCCACACAGGAGAGATAGAGTACAGTACATCTGTGGGGGCGGTGGGTGGAACACTTAACTCAGGAGAGGTCAATTTAGAAGTTCTTCCAAGGGCTGGAGAGATGGCTCAGAGGTTAAGAGCATTGCCTGCTCTTCCAAAGGTCCTGAGTTCAATTCCCAGCAACCACATGGTGGCTCACAACCATCTGTAATGGGGTCTGGTGCCCTCTTCTGGCCTGCAGACATACACACAGAAAGAATATTGTATACATAGTAAATAAATAAATAAATATTTAAAAAAAAAAAAAAGAAGTTCTTCCAAGCTCAAGTGGGGGACCCGTGGGCACCCAGCCTCAGTCAACAGCTCCCAGGACCTCTGGCAATTGGATATCCAGACCTCGGTTGGTGGAGGGATTGTAGTGGGACCGTGTCTCTCCCGAGAGGGCCACACACCTGAAATGGAGGCTATGACCCAGGGGTAGGGGGTCTCAGGTCTCACCTTACATCCTGGTGATATGAAATTCTCATCACCCAAACTTTTCTGTGCCACTACTGCCTGGCTCGACCAATCGTTTAAATGGTTTCCTAACTGGCCATTTCTCTCCCCATCTCTCCTCACCTCATCTCTGTACTAAAATCTGACACTCAGGAGGAAGAAGCAGGGTGGTTGTTGCAAGTTCCAGGTCAGATAGTCTATGTAATGAGTTCCAGGGCAGCCAGGGCTACAGAGTGAGAATCTGTCTCAAATAATAAATAAACAAGCAAATGCCCTAAATATACTTTTAAAAAAAATAGTAAAAAATCCAAGTGCATCTGGCCCCATCAGTGCTGCAGTGGAAAACTCTCATTCTATAATGGGATCCTAGTCCCCTCTCTCACTGACTTCCCTCAGCTACTAGAAACCAGAGCCGCTTTCTGGGCTCAACTCTAGGCAGACTCCGTTCTTCCCAGTCCACCTGCCTGGTCTCTGAACATCTCCCCAGCAACGGCCATTTCTCTCCTAATCTCTCCTCACCTCATCAAGTCGCAGACATTACTGCATGTGTGCCCTCTTCCATCATCCCCCTGCCTCCATCCGGGCCGGGTAACAAACTCTCAAACAGTAGCTATAAAAACCCTTCTAAACGGAAACTGGGTTAAAACCGTCCATCTCCCGGCTTTCACTCTGAGCGAAGTCCCTCTAATGTGGTTGTTCTCAGCCTTCCTAATGCTGAGACCCTTTAATACAGTTCCTCATGTTGTGGTGACCCCCAACCATACAGTTATTTTCATTGCTACTTCAGAACTGCAATTGTGCTGTTATAAATCATAATGTAAATCACTGATGTGCAACCCCTGTGGCCTCCAAAGCTTTACTTATTATTCTTGCTCTCAACCCCTCTTACCCTTGACCGTGTCTCTGGCCGCCCTTTATCTCAGGACAGCACACTGGCCTCCACCCTGGCTCTAGAATCAAAAAGGCCCTCCCTATCCTGGGCCATCGCGCTGGTTGTCCCTCTACCCACAATGCTTTTCCCTGGATAGCTGAGAGTTGAATGGTTGGCCCGTCACCTTCAGGCTGCTGTCCTGTCCTCTCTTCATTGGCCTTCCTTAGCCTCTGGATTCCTCTGCCTCGGCTGCTTGGCATTGCTCTGTCAGTGCCTGACAAACTGAACATGCACTGCTGATCAGTCAGTGTAGTAGAATGTGACCTTTTGCGAACCAGTGTGTTTTGGTCTGTGTATTCATTTTATTTCGTTCCAAGTATGTGTAGCCCTTAAATAGCCTTCCCCTGATAACTGTTGAGTGAACAAGGTGTGTGTCGCCTGGAGCACACCGTCTTTGTGTTTCCACTTCCTTCCCAGGTGCTGACCATCCCCGTAACTCGTGTTACCTACCGGTCATCAACCCACTTAAAGCCCAAGTTGCGCAAATCACATTAAGTTGAAAGTTGAAACCGGGGCTCTAGGTGTACATGGGTCGGTAAGATGATTTATTGTTTGCTTATCGATCAACTTAGCAGACACGCTTTGATCTGCAGAGGACTTGGGACTGCTGTTTAGGGTGAAATAAACAGGCCATGGTTAGGTAACTGCCCTAATTTGATGGGCGTCCCGAAGAGTTCAGGATTCCAGCCTCTCGAGACAGATGGCATGGTTTGCTGAAATCTGAAGGAAATTCTCCTAGCCCAAAGTGTTAGCAGGGAAGGGCTTAGTTTCCCTGTCAGCCACCAAGCAGTAGAACAGATGTCCAGCTGTCTGTCTTCTTTCATTAGTGCAGTCGGACTCTACCAAAACTCAAAGGACTCCAGCCTGCTCCGTCCTAGAACAGGCTGTGCTGGTTAAATCAGCACCAACATTCCTGAGCAGGAGGCTGTCTTCTTAAGGGCAGAGGAAAGGGCGGGGAGGAGCCCAGCTCAGGAATGCGACTGCAGCAGAGACTCACAGCAGAGCCACACAGCTTGCTCTCGCAGGGTCCCAAGCGTCCTTTCCTCTCCCCGCCCCCCAAACCGCTCCCCCACCCCCACCTTAATTCTGGGCTTCATTCTAGCTGTGAAAATTTTATTTTGGGTCTTTGTTGTTTGTTTGTTTTTGAGGCAGGGTCATACTTGTAATCAAGACTGGCCTTTGGACTCACGGCAATTCTCCTGCCTTAGCTGCCGCAGCACTGACATGACAGGAAGAGCCACCATCACCAGTTTAAACATCAGACTTAAGAGCATATAATTTACTGGGCTATTTGATGGCTTAGTGAATAATAGGGCTTGCTGTGCAAGCCTGAGAATTTGAGGATCCAATACCCACGAGGAAAGAAGGGCCTTATGCCCACCCAGGTGCTGTGAGGGTCAGAGACAAGAGGGTTGCTGGGGTTTGCTGGTTCTCAGCCTAGATCCAGGTCCAGTGAGTCTCCAAAGAATAAAGTAGGGAATGATAGAGCAGGACACCCCATAACCTCCTTGACTTCTGTGAGCATATGTGTGTGCACACACGTTCATACACCACATGTACAAAAATAGCATTCTCACAGAGTAAGCCAAACCATCTCTCAAACCCTCTTTTGTGGTTTTTAAGACAGGGTCTCACTCTGTGTAGCCCAGACCAGTCTCAAACTCACGGCCTTCCTCCTGCTACAGCTTCCCAAGTGCTAAAACTACTGTCTGTGCCACTAGGCCTAGCAATATTCTACATATAAAAAAAAGTGTGTGTGTGTGTGTGTGTGTGTGTGTGTGTGTGTGTGCAGAAGGCAGAACTCAGGAAGAGCAAATCCAGTTTCTCCTTAAGAACTAGGGAATTGTAAGGGTCTTTGGGAACATCTTCTTCCCCTAACTTAGCGTTAGCTACTTTGAACAAAACATTTCTTGGTCTGGCCTTGAACATTGCATGTTGGTCCTGGTGCAGGGATGGGAAAGGAGGGTAATGGCTGCAGAATAAGTGACTGGCCTTTGTGTCAGGTCAGCAGGGTAAAGGAGATGCTGGAAGTGTGTCATCTTGCAGTTTTTCCATGTTTATTATCTAGCCTCTCTTCCTATCTATCTGCCCACCAGGGAATCTGTCTAACTCCTAGACCCCTATTATGGAGGTCAGACCCTGGGAAAACAAACAATCTTATGGGAGTGAAGCCCAGAGTATTAGGGAAAGCATGCTTCTGACAGAGAGAGACCCAACCGATGCTCATGGAGGTCTGATAGCAACTGCACTGAAGTGGAGATTCTGGGAAGTCAAAGTACAGTATCTCGTTAAAGGGATAATTATTCCTCCCATTTCTTTAGCATAGCTGTTGGCATAGCTGGATTAACTCCTAAGGGAGGAGGCAACTGCATGTTTCCACCCAAAGAGAGATCCAATCCCACTCTTTCCTGTAGCACAGGCACTGGGTACATGTGTTAGGCAGAGGTCAGCCTCACATGGCAGTCCTCAGGCGCCTTAGAGTTTTTGTTTGAGACAAGGAGTTTCATTGACCCGCAGTGCTGACATGCAGTTCAGGCTAGTTAGCCTGTGAACTCTCAGAGTTGCATCTGCCTGCGATCCCATCCTACCACTGTTGGGATTTCAGGTGGGCATCATCAACCTGGCTTTTTATGTCGGTTCTGGAGATGCTCAAGCCTGCCAGGCAAGAGCTTTACCAATGGAATCATTTCCCCAGCCCATTTTCCTGATCTCTCTCTCTCTCTCTCTCTCTCTCTCTCTCTCTCTCTCTCTCTCTCTCGTGTGTGTATGTGTGTGTGTGCGTATGTTGTCTGCATATATGCCTGTGCACCACAGAAGCCAGAAGAGGGCTTCAGATGCCCAGAAACTAGAATTGAGGTTGTGTGCCTCCACGTGGATGCTAGGACTCAAACTCGTTAGCAAGTGCTTGTAGCCACTGTGCCATCCTTCCACTCCCTTAAATACATTTTTATTTGTTCTTTGAAATTTTCCTGCCATGTGTTTTGATCACATTCACTCCCCTCTGACCCCTCCCAGATCCACCCTCCCCCATCATTTTTGTGCTTTTTAAAAGTGGGTTTAGAGGGGCTGGAGAGATGGCTCAGAGGTTAAGAGCATTGCCTGCTCTTCCAAAGGTCCTGAGTTCAATTCCCAGCAACCACATGGTGGCTCACAACCATCTGTAATGGGGTCTGGTGCCCTCTTCTGGCCTGCAGGCATACACACAGACAGAATATTGTATACATAATAAATAAATAAACATTTTTTTTAAAAAAAGAAAATCCTTTTAAAAAAAAGTAGGTTTAGAGACCTGAGGGTATTCCTCAGTGACAAGGTGCCCGAGTGGCATATGCAAGGCCCTGGGTCCAATCAGCAGCATCACAAACTTAAATAAAAGTACAATATTGCTAGAGATGGAAACAGATGCACAGCACTGTTGTGGAAGGACACATGCTCAATAAACACTTGTCATTGTGCTGGGCAGCTTGCTGTTCTGGCTGCCGCTTGAGCAAGGACAGGTGTATCTCAAACTTGGTTGTGCTCTGGAATCAAGATCTCACCAGCTTGCAGGATTTTATGAGATGAACTGCTCCAGACACCTGCCTCCCACAAGGTTCTCGTTCTTCAGAAGAGCTACCTGTCTCTCAGAGGTTGACCTTTCAGGTGAGGGGAGAAAGCGGAAAGTAAGAAATGGCAGCTGACACCTCGATTCACCCTCGGTATTCACAAAGCTAAGTAGTGCAGCAAGTGGATCCCGAGTCCAGGCTTCCTGGCCTGCAGCCAGGGTTCTCCTACCAGTCTGCCACAGTGTGATGTCACAGCAGGCATCTGTTACCCAGTCAGTGCGTGGGCGTGGCCACCTGCGAAGGCTCCGTGGAAAGGGTGAACGCTGTGAAGGCAGTTTAGCAGGAAGCATCCTTCAGGGACAGCTGCTTCATTTCCAGTTTCGTTGCATCCCCCCATCCCCACCCTGCACTTCTTCAGGACAAAGCTGGCTTTTCTGGCTTGTATATCTGCGAGGTAGCGCAGGCTGGGCTGGACCCAAACCTAACTACCTGGGTTCAGTAGAAAAACTAGTGCTCCCAGCTCCCTTCTGCCCAGCTTAGCGTCCGTGTCAAGAGGGAACGTACACAGAGAATCTGGATACTGTATGCTATTGTGTTGTCTTGGAATTGTGTGACTGCTGAGAGAGGAGCAACAGCTGCTAAAAGTCATTCCCCTAAAGAATGGATTATGGATGTTTGTTTTGTTTAGTGTACTGGTTACAAGTTGTTATGTATAATGGTCAGGTTAAAAAAGCTAAACAAAGGAAATTAGATTCAAGGTCTTTGTTTCAAAGAGAAAAACGTGGGATATAGACATGATAGGATAAAGGGGTAGGTTATTGAATCTACTCTGAAAAGAAAAAGGGGAGGATATAGATATGATAAGATAAAAAGATAGATTACTGAATCTACTTTTAAAAAGCAGCTACTAGTTTTAAATGTTTCACATTGGATTGGACTTTTGTATACTGTATACAAATTTTGTATATTGATACAAATTTGAGATTAATTTTGCTAAAACATACTGGACATACATTTCTAATCTTGTTCAAGGTGTTGTATGTATACAGCTCATTTAATAATGTAGTAAATTATTAATGCCAACTGTTTAGGATAATAAGGAAATGCAGGTTAGTACTTAGTCACTTATTATAATCGGACTTATAGTCACATTACGTATGTTTCCAAGGTCAAAGATATATTTTAGATAGACAGGTCCTCTTCAAACACTTCAGAGATCTACAGAATATGACATTTAAGATGGTTTAACAACATAGGCTCTTTTTATGACAATGAGACGTGTCTGCTCCTGGCAGCAACAATCTATTTCAGAGAAGATGATGGACATCAAAGAAACTCCAAGTGGGGTTTACTTTCTTTGCGGCAAAAGTAAGCTGCTGGGCAGGAAAATGCCACTGCCTCAACTGCTGACAGGATCGCCATTTCTGAACAGAGGTAGAGGTAAGAGCCAGTGGCTGGCTGTTTTGCTTTTCTGAACTTTAGGTTGAACCCCAATTTCTGTTTCTGAGTTTTTATTAATCATGCTATAAGAATTAGAGATAATAACCATGGACTGGCTCAGTCAGATGCCCAGTGGGTAGAGGCTCTTATTGCCAACCAGACAATCTGAGTTCAGTCCTCAGTGGGCAGGGAAAGCATTGACTCCTGATGTTCACACACATCCCGTGTTGTGTAGCCACAACCATCATC